GTAAATGTCATAACATAAGAGATGAAATGCGGTTGAAAATGCACAGAATTATGCACCAATCAGCAGCGATATTAAAAAGCTATTGTTCTGACTGATTTAATTTATAATTTTAAGACTATATGTAGAATGACATCTTTTTTAAATAAATGCAGTGTACGTAATAGTCACAATTCTATCAGCCAAGGCGTCATCAGTATTCTCTGTTCTGTATTTCCCCTATTGATATTTAGCTCATAAATCAAAATTAGTGTACCGATGTACAGCTGGCATGCCTTATTTCTGGCGGTGCTGGAAGCTGCGTAGAGCATTTGTTTTAATCCTTTACAGATTCATCATGCTCTTCTCTTCGGTTGAAATTCTTTCTGACTGCTCTTCATTCAGTTTACGCAAAAGGCTTGTGATCTTGACATGTCCTTTAGCCAAATGCCTATGGTAACCTGGCAGACCTAAGAAAATACGAAGTGCCATCTTATGAGGCAGTATAACTTAGAAAGTTGACCCAACGTTGCATGGACCGGCATTGCTTTGAATTCAGAGTCAAACCTTCGTCTCGTAGACAGTTCAAAATCAATCTTAGCTTGGCGCTATGCCACCCAATGTCCCAACCGAGGACAGAAGTATCACACGTTTTGTAGAAGATTTCGTGAATAATTCAAATGGTGCAATTTGTATAAGGAGTTGGGATGTGGTAGCTAGATTACAGAGTCCCATAGTACTGTTTTTAATCCCTACAGTCTATCCAGTTGTAATACAAAGTGTTTTCCTTCTATACGCTTCCCCCCTACTACTTGTCAGTATCCTCATTTTAAGTCTGACATGGCGATGCACCTTGACCCATGTGGAGAGTCTAACAAAACATTTGCCTTGGTACCTCGTCTGCTTCCTGTAGTCGATCCACAGAAGAAGTCCTCCATCCTACTTAAAAAGGGTAGTATACGTGGTCCGTGGTGATTTGGGTGTCTTTATGACCTCATCTGTAATCATCACTTCGACAGGACAGTTCACCTCCCTTGTCAATAGAGGAGGTTTGCTTCCGGGCAGCAGTATGATCGGCCCAGCCTCACCAGTGCCTGTCACAAGTTTAATGGTGTTTGCTCTTCCCAACTTACAACCATGCCATGAAAATGCGTCCGTGTTCTTAACCTCTAGCTCACGATGTTACTTTGCCTCGTAGTCGATGACATGAGTAAGTTGCAAGTAGAAACTGTGTAGGATATTCAGGTGTGGTGAAAGTGCCTTCCGTAAAACTTGGGATGAGTTAAGTCCAACCTCTTAAACTGCTTGCATGAACTATGCCTCGAGACAATTCTGGGTACGTCGGATGTTTCAGTATATATTGACATATAACGATGTCTTACCTTCAACTACCATCTCTTTTCCCTCTGGTAAAAGTAATCTTTTAGGCTGTAGATCACGCCTAATATCTTGATAAAGCGTAGTGAAAGCCTTGACATTTGGTGTTGATTTGGCCGTGCCTGAGTCAAAGACTACCTTACCGAGGAACAATTGTATCGTGATTATGATCAATTATCAAAGTTAGGATGTATGATGACAGAGACACAAGGCATAGCGAATGTTTT